TGAAGTGCAAGGTTGGGAATGTCACTACCCACTAATCTACTTTACCCATGATTAATACAACTAATACATTATGTCAACTAATACATTGTTCTTTCTTTGGAAAGGGTCCCATAATCCTTCTCAGTAGGGCTTGGCTGAGACAATAGCTCAGTCAGTAAAGTGCTTGCATTTTGAACATGAGGACCTGGGTTTAATTTCCAGAACCCAGTCTTTAAAAATATGTGTGGTGGCATGTGCATGTAATCTTGGCTTAGGATAATCAGTGAGCCCAAGGTCTAAGTGATAGACTATATGTCATAAAACAAGGTGGACAGCTCATATACTAGTGATTTCTTTTCCTAACTCTGCCTAGCATCCCAGAGAAGAGCTCTGAGGTAATCTGTGCCTTAGAAACAATACCTTGGTTGATTTCTGACATCGACATACACTCATATACACACATGCACCTACACATGATACACAGACACAAAGGTACTCATGTGCATATACATACCCACATAATACACAGACATAAATACATGCATATTCCTACATACATACTTACACACACTAAGACACAAGCAAAACAGACTCATATACCTACACACACACACACAGAGAGAGAGAGAGAGAGAGAGAGAGAGAGAGAGAGAGAGAGCATTTGAGCAAATATATTGAACATAAAAGCACATGAAACTATCTTGTTCCACCTCAGTGTCTCCCAACTGTGACTCAGGCTCTGTAGCTTGTGTCTCAAGACTCGATCATTGTTTGAAGTATGAGCTATGAAACTCAGATTCTCAAAGTAACAGTGGAAGGGATCTAAAGAGTCACAGAGTTTGTCAACCCTATTTGATTGTAATGATTAGGACAGGAATCTTGATTATGGAAGTGGCAGAGACCTCACCCTGACTTTGTACCACTACTTTTGTCTTGGAGGGAGAAAGAGACCTAGCTTTTCCTGAGACCCCTCCTTCAGAAGGGCTGGCTTTGCTAGTGAGCAGAATTCATATTGACTCTCACTTTAAATCCCACCATTATTCCCAGTAAAAAAGCAACTGGCATCCATAGACAAGTACAACTCAGTGGCTGGTCTGTACTTGCCTCTAGAAACCTGTGCTTTGCAGTCCTACACTGAAGCCTTTTCAGATCTGATGACAGGATCGGGGCTTTCCAGGAAGGGCTGGAAGTGAGGGGTCTTGACTCTGTCCTGTTGTTTACACTGTGTCTTAGGCTCTTGGTCACATCAGGAGGTCAGGACAGGCGGCTCCTCTGGAGGCATAGCCAAGCATCTGCGAGGTTGGGAGACTCTGCCTTGAGTACCCAGTTCCACCAGAGAAAGCTGTCTGCTGTCATCCACATGCATGTGATGACTTCCCAGATTTTACATTAATTTAAGTTCTGCAGCCAAAGTAAGGCTCTTTGGTGGCAGTAGTTTGCACTTTAATGTCAGAAGTTTGCTGAAAAACCACCTGGGTTTGAAGGAAGTCACAGTGTTCAGTAAAATCTGGCCACATTTTATGTTTATGGTCTTTATTAGGACATCCAGATGAGCTAGTTAAAGTGTGTACCTATAGTCAGTGAAAGCCCAGGACCCTCGAGTTCACTTATTCACATAACAATTATTGACTAGATACCAAGAAGCAGGCCAGTATATACAGTGGAGAACTACAGACATATCTTGGCTTTTGTGGAGGTTACACTACAATTCTGAGATATAGATATTTAAAGAATAAGTGCATACATAAAAATATGAATGTTTTGTTAAGGAATGTGGACACTAATGGTGTTCCAAGATGGTCTAACTTGGTAATGGTGGGTCAAAGAAATTGTTGAGTTGACCAGCAATTATTCTAGGGAGATGGGTTAGCAGGCTTGTGAAGGCAGAGGCTGGAAGGGCTTGATGTGGTCTAGGATGATTTTTCTCAATGGCCATCAGAGAAGATGGGACCTAGCCAGGTGCTGGCATACTGCTTGGTGTTCCCTCCATCTGTAGACTTACTATACCCTCTCACGTTAGGGTGTGATTCTTGCTTGCCTGGTACCTGTGATCTCTTGGTCTTTTTTCTCAGCCTCCCCTCCCCACTCCTCATGGCATCCCCACCCCTGGAACTCACCTTTTCTATAGTGGCCCTGCTTCTGTGAACCAATCCTTTCTGCATATACCCTCCAACTGGCTTATGACTTGCCACTGGGCATTAGGCATTTCCTGTGCTGAGACCAGCTCCCTTTCATTTCTTCATCCTCTGCCCCCGACCCCCACTGAAGCTTCCTGATATCACCTTTCACACAGCTTGTGTACTAGTGATTTCTTTCCTAACCCTGCCTGGCATCCCAAAGAGGAGCTCTGAAGTCATCTGTGGATAAGACTTTAGAGTCTCTCTTGGGTCAGAAGAGCCATTTGTCACCCAGAAATAGATGAGCACAAGCCTTTTCTAGTTGACTTAAGTTTCATTGGCAGGGTCCAAAAGCTAATGTGTATATAGGCCACATCTACACTTTCTACTTCAAAGACCAGATGCTGCCAAGAGCTTGCAGGCCACGCCTAAGGTGAGTGCAGTCCCTCCATGTCCCTCAAGGGAAGAGACTATAGATCCCCTGAGTAAACAAGAACTCCCAGTCTCTGAGGAGCAAGGCTTGTACCCTTCTCTGCTGAGGTGGTAACCTGATCTGGGCAACCAATTTACTCATCAAAAGTGAGTGTGCAGAAAAAGTCAAATAACAGCAATTTTAATAGTGATTCCAAAACAAAGGCCCAGACCAAGGCCCCCAGGAACTACCATGTGACTGTATTAGGCCAGAGTTTAGTCCAAAGGCATCATTCCTGTGCCCCCATGGCAAGACAGACATAGGCTGATTCCTTCATTTCCTCTGTCACCTTCCATGTAGTTTTCATGACACTGCAGGCACAAGGCTGAGCACCTCCCCATGCTGCCTCACTCTCTTCTACTTGGTAGAATGGGAGTTCAGGAGGGGATGCAACCTGCCAAGGTATATAGCAGCAGCTAGCAGAGGGCAAATTTAGAATTCCATTCTTACTGACACCAAAGCTGTGCTATTAAATGTGACATTCAGCTCCCAGCCTGCCAGTGCCCCCCCCCCCACTTTTCCTGGGAACCCATGGTCTACTTTGAGAACCACTTAGGAGTACATGTTGGAAGGAAAATTTGATGAGAAAGAAGAGATATGATTAAACAAGCAGTTGGAGGGAGGGGGAGGAGATGGGTCCACAAAGCAGGGTGCGGGGAAGTGACTTTGAACCTATCCCTAGACACTGAGTTTGGGAAGCTGGATGGGGTGGAAAAACCTCATTATATGTACTGCAGTCTAGCTGATAAAAAGAAGGATTGAATGTTGGATGAAGAACATCAGCACATGTGCTCATCATCTCCACTGTGTTGGGGAGCACCATTCAAGGTTGCGGATTGGGTGGGAGGTGCCACCAACATGGCTCTGGTCATGGTGGCAGGCACACACACCCTTAGGGGCAAATGGCGTGTTGACTCTGAGAGAAGCAGGACTTATGACAGAGGACTACTGTGAGTAATTGCATTGTTGAAATATGTCCAGTAGTAGCCTTATTCCAGCTGCAGAAAACAATTGACCCTGGCCCTTTGCGTCGTCAATAATGCAGTCACAGGTTATAAAGGCAAAGTGCCCTGGAAATTGCAGTGTTTCTAGGATGGGTGAGTCCTAGCAGGAAGGGACACAGCCCACAGACTGTCATGTTCCCACTCCTAGCCATCAGAGTCAACTCCTGGAGATGCTAACTGCTCTTAAACCATGGTCACCCCTGAGAAGCACCAGCTCTGCCTCCAGGCAGGTCCCTGTGTAGTAAACGCCAGCTGTGTGCCTTTGGACAATCCTCCTTTTTCAGTTTTTCTCACCTGGAGTTGGCGATGATGGCAGTGACCTCAGGTTATTCTGAGGATTCTCCTTATAATTTGTATGGTTGTGGACAGGCTTGATCAAGGGCTTGTGACCTGCCAGTGCATTGTGTGCGATCAGTTTAATCCTCCCTGGTACCTCACGAGATTGGTGCTATTGCGACCCCTCAGGAGACAGAAATGTAGACACAGATGAGTCAGGGTGATTGCTTAGAGTCACACAGCCTGTATGAAGCAGAACCAGGAGCTGGACCAAGGCAGTCAACCCTCACTTGACAGCACTGTGTTTAACTGCCCACCCCTCAGCTCCACCCCGGGCCTGGAACATAGCTGTCACTCAGTAGGAATTCTTGTCTCTTTTTATTGACCCTGAATAGTATACTAAGGAACCAATCAGCAAATTACCTTCCAGTAGCCATGGCTATGGGGATCCCTTAATGTGACACTGGTCAGTGAGAGAAGAGGTCTTCCTAACCACACAGCCAATTAGGTAAACCTAAATCTTGCCATATCCTGGACCAGGACTTCTTGCTATTAGTGGACAAGTGTCAAACACATGAAGGCTCCCTGCCATACTGACAAATGACAATACTGAGCAAATAACCTCCACTGTCACCAAAGGTCTGGAGTGCTTCCCCTGAGAAGCCCAATGGGAGAGGGGACAGGAGCAGAAGCACAGTAGCTGTCATCCTCAGTAGCTGTCAATTGGCCTTTGTCTAGTCCTTTGAAGCTCCATTTGAAGATGGACTTCTGAGCTGGGAGTCCCCAGTAGTCCCTTCCTGTAATGTAGAGGTATAGAGACCATTGTGGGGTGTGGGGGTGCTAACCTGGGGGTAAGGAAAGGACAGCACAACTCTCTGATCTCAAATGTCTGGTCTCTCTGGCCACATGGGGCTCATGGATGGAAGGAGAGGGTACATTAATTCTTTGCAAATAAACTCATGGCAATAAGAGTCAAGCTGTGAATCAATTACTTAATATCCCTACTGCAGAAGGAGAAGTCAGACCCAGCTTGGCCCCTCATGGCAGTGTGTGGAGAGAAGGTGGAGAGAGCTGTGCTTCTGTGTTCATGTTGAATGATGGCCTGCAGCCTGCCTTACAGAGGAACTGATGGGCATGTCCTTGTCTTCACAGGTGTGGCAGTGTGGCGGAAGTGTGGAGGTCCTGCCATGTTCTAGGATTGCCCACATAGAGCGAGCCCACAAGCCCTACACAGAGGACCTCACCGCTCATGTCCGCAGAAACGCCCTCAGGGTAGCTGAAGTCTGGATGGATGAATTCAAAAGCCATGTCTACATGGCATGGAACATTCCACAAGAGGTAGGGAATCTGGATGGGGCTGGAATTCAAGTTTGGTGAGGAAAAAATTCTGAAATGAAACACTAGACTCTATTTTTTCTTCCCATGGACATTCAGGTCTCATTGGCCATGTCAGACTGTTAACCCTATGGTTAGTACATACAGGAAGAAGCTGGCAAACATCTCCAAGCCATTTCTCATCCACCTCTATCAGCACGCTTGGAGGAGGATGTGTTCTGTCAGAAATTCAGTGGCTTCATTTTAAAAGAAATTTAGAAAACAGGCTGTAGCTCAAGTTGGTTCAATGCTGAGCCAGCATGCATGAAGCCTTGGGTTCAGTCCCTAGCACTGCATAAAACCAGATATGGTAGCTTAGGCCTGTAATCCCAGCTCTCAGGAGGTAGAGGCAGGAGAATCATAAAGTTCAAGGTCATCCTTAGCTATATAGTGAGTTTGAGGCTAGCATGGGCTACATGGGATCTTATCTCAAAATATATGAATAAATGAAGTTGGATCAGATGGCTCTAAATTTCCTTCCTACTCCCAGCTTCCCTGGTGTCTCATGATTCAGGATTATGAATATATAAATACAACAGTAATGACTACAGAATCACAAAGGACACTTTAATCTGCATAGACTGAATTCAAGCCTTTCCATTGAGGCAAACAGAATAAGGAAAATCCATACATTTATGGGATTTCTTAATCTGCATAGACTGAATTCAAGCCTTTCCATTGAGGCAAACAGAATAAAGAAAATCCATACATTTATGGGATTTCTTGAGCCATATGGACGTAGATGAGATATATTCCCAAAGGGATCCTCCATTGGATAAGACAATTATATGGACATTTCTGACCTTCACAGAGCCCCATCCTTGCCACTGTCCTCTACCCTTCTAGTCACTTGTGTTAAGATTTTGCAGAGGAGAAGCAATATTTCTCTCCTAGCTTTGCTTGCCTTGGCATGTGATATGTGGAAATGACTTTCAAATGCCGAGTTGGGAGAACCCAACAGATGCCAGCTGCAATGTACCAAACTTGCCTGCCTGCCTGCCTGCTTGGGCTCATTGCTTGTGTTGCCTTCTGTGTGACAAGGCTGACTGCATGACCTCTCTCCTTGCTCCCAAGCCTGGGCTTTCTCCTTGGCAGATCTTCAGGAAGCCTCAGTTCTCTCTGTCAGTGAATTATCTTTCTTTGTATAAAGTTTCCATGGGAAAGCCCTGTACCCTGATCTTCCCACCAACCCCATGCTGCTCTGGCTGAATTATTTAAAAAGTAGACTGAGCCTCGAGTGGCAGTGTTAGGCAAACTCCCTTCCCGGATGGAATCCAGGGCTTCCTTCAAGCTAGGCAAGCACCATACCAACTGGCTACATCACTGGTCTGCCACCACAAGGGAAAGTGACTTGAATTGTATCACCCTACAATTGATGGGGAGGAGCCATGGGCCTTAGTAGAGGTCAGCCAAACCTCCCTATTGAATCCCTGGCAGAAAGAGGATTTCCAGGGAAACCTCCATGCTTTTAGATTCATATGACACTGTGGATGTCCCTACATGCTAAAAATGTTGTCTCCAGTGAACACCATACCCTTAAGGCTCTGTGTAGGGACAGAGTCCTGCCCATGCTCTTCTCCCTTGCCTCTGCCCCACAAGCTACAGAGCTGCCAGCCTTCCCTATTACAGCCAAACCCAGTGAATGGTGGATAATGTCACGGGCAAAACTTAATGAAAATTAGTGTCTGCCTGTAACCTGTCTGAGGGGCTAGCACTAACCAAATGAGAGGACGAGAGGGACAAGAACAGGGTGAGACACAGAAAATGTCCAGGCAAAAATTTAGGTAGCAAAAGAAAGGTTGGTGTGTTTTCTATTGGGTTGGGGAGATGGCTCAGTCAGTAAATCAGGCCTTGCAAGCACAAGGACCTGAATAGATTCCCCGAATCCACTGAAGAATACTGGCTGTGGTGACACGTGTTTATAATCTTCCCAGTGCTGGAGAAGAGTCTGGCAGGTCTCTAGGGCTTGCTGGCCAGCCATCCTAGCTTACATGTTGTGTTCCAGGTCAGTGAGAAACAATGTCTCACAAAAAAGGTAGATGGCACCTAACGAATAACCTGAAGTTGTCCTCTGATGGGTACTCATTCGCACACCAGCTCTCCTCTTTCTGTCCCCCTACTTCTGCATACACACACACACACACACACACACACTCCTCTTCCATCCCCTATTACTTCCAGCTCCCAAATTCCCTTCCTTAAGACTCTTGAGCTTTTTCAGGGTCAGGGTGTTCCCAGTTCCCACCCACTTCCCAGGCACATCCCAATATCTGCTTTTGTCAAAGCCATCATGGACAGGGCTCCTGGCTATATAATGTCTTGGAAATTTAAAAGTCCTTTACCTGGGGCTGGAGAGATGGTGTATCCATGAGGACTAAAATTCAGATCCCAGCACCTATGCTACAAGATGGATGTCCCACAAACACCTGTAATATCAGCTCTAAGGGATCCAACAACCTTTTCTGGCCTCTGTGTGCACCCACACACATGTGAGTGCATACACACACACACACACACACACACAAATAAAAAATAAAAAAGTAAAGATTTAAAAAAAATCTTTCTTAACCTACAGAATTCTCATTTTCTTGAGATTCTGTGGTCCCCAAGCTCTTTGGTTCCACACTCTTGGGTAACCCCTCTCCCTCAGGAGGTTACATCTTTCTCCCTTAGGGGTTCATCATCCCTCTACTGTTGCTTAAATGCTCCCCAGAGATGTAGCCTTCATCAGCCTCATTATACTGCCTCTCTCGGTAGCATCCTCTGCTCTTGGATGTGATTACACCACCCATATGCCAACAGCTTTCTAATTAATATCTCCAGTCCTACTTGTGGACTGGCATCTCCAACAGCCAGCTGGACGCCTCCTGATGTTGTCCTCACTGGCACTCAGGCTGAGTCTGACCACAGCCAAGCCTGTCTTTTTCCACCCAAGCCAGCTCCTGTTCTTAATTGCCTGTCTCAGTTCCTCCTCCCATCTGCCAGATACCTGGATGCACACTGCTCACAGCCCTTTCTTCCTCCTCTCTTGTTATCCCATTCTGTCAATCACAGAGCCTTCCAGTCCAGTCCCATATCCAGTCACATCTGAGCTCCAGCCCTGCCCATCTGGACTTCAACTGATTGCCCTGTTTCAAATCTCCCCCAACTTCAAATCTGTCCTTTCTAAATGATTTATACATTGCCTTTCTTCAAAATCTATGAAGGACTTTCATGGTGTACCAAGGCAAGGACAGGTACAGCATTTGACATGTGTGTGAGCTTTGTAAGCTCTCTTCTCTATGGGTACCTCCACATGCACCCCGCAATCCTTATTTGGAAGGGTTCTTTCTGCTTCTCTACCTTATGCTTGCTCATTTGTTCTCTCTACTTGAAATTACCTGCCCTCCACCTCATGCCCAATTCCCATCCTACCAAATCTCCATCCTTACAGACTTAAGTCTTGCGATTCTTCATATAGGAAGCCAACCCCAGCTAGGAAAATGTCCTTCCCCCTACATGCCTCTATCATCACTTGACTAGCCTGTCAAATGAGGATCTGTCGTCTGCAACATCTATCTTATTAGACCAGTGACTCTCAAATCTGGCTGCATTTAAAATCGCTCTGCACTAGCCTTGGAGATTATATTGGAAATGATGTAGGGAAGACTCCTTGGGTCCTGGTTTTGGAAAGCAATTCCAGGAATCCAATGTCCATCTAAGGCTGGAAACTACTAAGATTAACTGTGGGCTTTCTCAGGACATGTTGATGTGTACGTTTGTATCACAGTATGTAGCACAAGGCAGGGCAGGTGCTAAGAGCTCAGTGGAACCTTGATATTTATTAATGGGTGGGACAGTCTGGCTATATGTGTGGTCTCTTTACTCCTAGAGCAATGCTGCACTTCAGCTGCACAGAATCCCATGGGAACCTTAGAGAAAATACTTCTCTGGGCCTCATCCCTAGAGACTCGGGTCAGTGAGACTGTGGAGGTGACAGAACCTGTCGGGATCACGAGATGATGGCTTTGGGAGCCAGGATTCAGTTCCTCTTTTAGATTAATCTCAAACATATTGAACTCCAGGAAGCTTTCTTTGACAGCTCACCTGCCCCTGTCTCACCCTCCTGGTACCCAACACTCCAAGATGGATTACGTAGAGCCTTGCCTCTATTCTCCCTTACTCCCCACTTCCTTCCCTGCCTCATACAGTGTGCAGGGAGTCTGTTTGCTTGTCTGCATCCTCCAGACTCCCCTTTCAGGCATAAACTCCAATGTGTTCCTATTTGTCTACACAGTAACTGACACATAGCAAACAGGCACTCCATAAAGTTTAGCTGACAAAGGAGGAGAAGGTATGGCAGCCACCTGCTCTCCATGTTTTCTTGGGAGCATCCCAGCCATCATTGGCCCAGTATCATTGGCTCAAGCACAGACACATCTTTACCCATTTACTTCCCCTCTCCTCTCTAGCAACTACTGCAAATTCAGAGCAGAAACCCTTCAGCCCTGCTCAGGGTTTCTCAGTGGTGCCTGGAGAATCCTATTCAGTTAACATGTACAAGACTCTGGTCAGAACTGGCTCAGCACCCAGAAAGCTCTTGCCACTGGTACTGTTACACATGCAAGTGGGTTCTTTGAGGGCTCTTACCTGCTACCCTGCTGAGCCCTCCCCTGGGTCATACAGACAGAACTGTCCTCTTCACCTGCACCCTCACCACATTCAGTTCCAAGCTTGTGAGAGCCTGAGCAGCCTCTAGCACATGCATCCTGCCACTTTAGTTGAGAATCAGTTTGCCTGTCAGTACACAGAAAACCAGCCAGTAACAAACATCTGTATGTCCTTCCTTGACATTCAAGACCCCTCCTAGCTGCTGTTTCCCTCGCCCAGGGGTGCTCTTTGTTGATGACTTTTCTTTGGGGCTTGGTCACATGGAATTTTGTGACTTTGTGGCAGAAGTACTGGGCCATTTTCAGGGTAGCCAACTTTTGATTCGTTTCCTAAGACTGTCCAAACAAATTAGCCACAAAGTTGGCTGCTTAAGACAACAGAACTTTTTTCTTATAGATCTTGAACCCAGAAATCCAAATCAAGGTACCAGCAGAGCCATGATTCCTCCAGTGGCTATAGAGGGTTACCCATCTTTTTTGGTCTCTTCCAGCATGTGGAGGTTCCTGGCTTTCCAAGTCTGTAGGATTTGCCACTTCAGCCTTCTGCATCTCTATGTAGGCCTCTTCTTCATATGTCTCTTTTTCTCTTACAAGTTACTAGTCACTGAATGTGGGGCCTGTCCTATTTAAGACATCCTCATCTTGATATTCCTAAGCTAAGTATTTCTTTAAAGACCTCTTAAAATCCTATTCAGAGGTTCTAGGTAGACATGGATTTTGGAGGAGAAAAATCAGCCACCTATACTAAATGTTAGGAAAAGAGAAAGGAGTGTTCATTGTTTTCTAATAATAAAGGCCAAAGAGCTTTTGTCTATAAAAGACCACATAGTTCTTAATCATTGCCCACTGCCATGAAAAGGATTTGATGCAATTGGCAGGAAAAACACAAAATCAGAAGTCAATTAATAAGCAGGAAGGTATAGGGGGCTGGGGGCAGACACTTGATATCCAAAAGTTGAAAATAAGCAGGAGGCTGGTTCTAGAGCCTCTGGATATATGTATATATCTCCAATGTCCATCTGTACCATACATATGGATTTCTGAATATGTATATCTATCTGTGTATTTATCTATCTCATTAGATCATAAGTAGAGAAATAATCCTGAGTACAGAAAGAATGGTTTCCCATGAAAACTCACACCTTTAGGAAAACATGGAAGTTGTCCAAGGGCAGGATCCAATTGTTACCCCTTGTCAAAGCTGATGCTCCAGTCTTAAATAGTAACCACATAAAGTTGCGTATTCCTCCCTGCTACTTCACTTGATAGCAATCCCTTTCGATACTGACTTCATGTCTCAGAATTGAAATGGGGATGGTTATGGGGTGAATGCTGAATTGGGGAACATATGAATTAGCTCCCCATGGGGTCCCTCTACCAGAAAGTCTGTGAATCGCAGCTGGAGGCACTGGGCCATACATAGGACATATAGAGCAGGCCTGATGGGAACTAAATCTCTGCCCCTGCTTCCTATACAGGACTCAGGGATTGACATTGGGGACATCACTGCACGGAAGGCTCTAAGGAAGCAGCTGCAATGCAAAACCTTCAGGTGGTACCTGGTCAGCGTGTACCCAGAGATGAGGATGTACTCGGACATCATCGCCTATGGAGTGGTAAGGAGCCTGTATCTCTGGATTTCATTCAGATGCAGATGGAAAATAAGACTGGGCGTTTGAAGGAAGAGGAGGGAGGAAATAAGCCCACTGTCACCTCTATGATAAGCTATAGTAAACTTGGACTCAATGCTGGCTGATGAACCTTCAAGAGGCTTGGAATTCAAAGCCCACGTCTTTTCAGCCCCACTGAGAGGGGACTGTGCCTCTCTTCACAGTCCTCAGCAATTCACATCTGGCCCCAAGTCTGCATAGCCAATTTAGCAACGTGCATAAAGAAGTGGTTAGCTTCAGATTACAAAGTAACACAGCTGACACCACATGAACCCCCAGCTGGGGAAACTGGGGTTCCTTCAAACACCTTGAGCCTCCACCACCCACAGGCTGATGCCTCGAATTCATGTTTGAAGCCTCTCTGGGAATACTTCTGAGAAACAGAACCTTCCTGAATTTACTGAAGGATTTTGTAGCTTTGTGCCATTTTCTCCAGTGCGTGTGGTAGAGGCACCAAGATGGATGATGGAGTGTAGGAAATAGCATTGGTTCAGATCTTGACCTCTGGCTAGGGGTGTAGCTCCCTGGTAGGAAACTTAACTAGTGTGTATGAGACTCTGAGATCAGTCCCCAGCACCATTAAAAGCACAAAGTAGAGTAAGAGCTTGCTGTCTTCCCATCTTATAGACTGTGAGCTTTGGTTTCTTCATCTGTTAAATGGAGTAAATTAATACTGCCCTCCTTGGCTAGAAGTGAGTCTGAGAAATATGAATTGTTTTCTCTCGCAGGTTAAAATACTTTAATTGTGAGAAACCCATCCATGAGGATCTTCCACTCTTAGAGTGTCTTATGCAGTACATGGCTGCTGTTTGAATATCTCCTCTACTGACTGTTAAAGTCTGAACACACTATTTTTCCTATGACAGTTAAGTTCTTGACTCTACTCTGTGGGGATACTTATATTCGGATCACATATGAAGAAACGGGCAAAAACTGACTTGTCCCTGACAGAGCCTGACAGACTGGCTGGAATCACCCCAGTTCTTTGCTTTGGAGAGCGCCCCTCCTGCCTTTTTTGATATACCAAGATGAAAACTCAAAGGCAGAGCTGAGGCCTCTTTGGTTCCCTATGATCAGAGTTGAGTTAAGGGATTCCCCAGCTGGGAACATTATGAATGGAGCTCTGCCTGGGAGTGTGAAGTCTTTTCTGAAAAGTTAGGCTCAGAATTAGTCCCCAATCCTTCTATTACTAATACCCAGTGGTTATAAATTACACAGAGCTGGGACACCCACCCCCCAGATCTTGGTTGTCCAGGGGGCCATCTATGAGAGCTCTATGAATGTTTTACAGTCCAAAATGGCAGCCTCTTGCCTTTCCTCTTCTGAGACCTGGGGGTGGGGGTGTCAGAGCATCCCCTCAGCTGATGCTGCCCAGCTGCTACCTGATACTCCAGATCCTCCATCACCACAGAAACACTTCATACTTTATGATGCCCATCAGTTCCTTCCACATCACCAGAACCACCCAGGGGATGCGCTCTTCTGATGTCCTACACTCTGCTCCATAGAAACTGTATGTGCCACTGTTGGACCCAGTCCTGTGAGAATATTTTTGGTCCAAAGGAAGTTTTAGAACCAAACCTTCAGGAATCAGGACTAGCTTCCAGAATCACATTCTTCTTAGGCCATTGCCAAAGCTGACCAAGATGAGTCACTCTCACCAGGTGAGGCAGAGGAAGCAGTAACAGTGAGAATGTCTCTGTGTGTAGCCACTGCACTTCCCAGTCTTAGCTAAAGGCCCTTTCTTCCACATGCATGCAGCAACAGGTTTCTCTTGGGCCCCCTTGATAACAGAGACAGAAAATTTTGACTGACCAACTAGTAAGTGGCAGGTAATAGACTGTGTCTAGATCTGTCTGGGTCCAGCTCAGGCTGTCTGTGCTCTGTCATACCAACAACCACCCACTCATCATCCCACAGAGATGAGCTTGATAGCCATCCCCAGGGCTGGCAGAGGTCGCTGCACTTTTACTGTTCATGAACCAGCTACTGTGAAAGGTCCAGCCAGCCTTTCCTTCCCACTGCCACCTCCACATAATGTCAGTGCCTGGCTCCATCAGGAGCAGAGACATGCTTGCTGGTGCAGAGCATCATGAACTCTTAATGAGGGCCACACAGGATGCAGCCACAGAAGCAAGAACATTTGCTGGGTCTGAATTGTTCTTCCTTGGTAATTAGTTTTATTCTAAAATTCAGAGACCAGATGTCTTTGCAGGAGCAGTGGTTTTTAAAATCTTTTATTTTCCACTCCAACTCATGCTCAAGCTATATCATTCAGGCCAAATAAATGTTTGGGTCACTCAATTGGGCCAGTGTCAAGTCTATAGCCCAGGCTATTAATCCACTAATAGGTCTCATTACTGCTCCTCCAAGCCTGGAGCTGTGGGCTGCACTGTATGGGTTTCCTCCGAGCTCTCTATCTGGGAGATGGGGTAGCTTTGGATGAATCCCAAGTGTGGTGCTGAGAGAAGAGATGGAGAGGCAGCTGGAATCAGACATGTCCAGCTTCTGGACCGTTACTTTGCACTTTCTTGCTATATAACCTTGACCATTGTGCACATCCTCGGTGTTACAGTAATCCACTTCAAGGGACATAGTTCATATTATCAGGCTCATAGCTATACATATGATGGGAAAGCTTGCTCTCCAATGTCAGGCACACTGTGGCCCTGTCACTTGCAAAGCAATAGTGCCATTCTTTTGCTCATTTTCTGCACACACTCACTCAACAAGTGGCAATCGTGTGCTGCATGCCCTGGTTCATGCCATATTCAGTGAAGAAGACTAAGACCCAGTATTGGTAATGAATGAAGAGGCAGGCAAGTAAAGAGGCAATGAGAAAGCAATATGCCAAGTGCTGTAGTAAGATCCATGAGAGTGGGGCTGGAGAGATGACTTGCTGCTCTTGAAGAGGACCTGAGTTCAGTTCCTAGCACCCATGTCAGGGAGCTCATAAGTGCCTATAGCTCCAGCCACAAGGGATCTGGCCACCATGGGCACCGACACTCAGGTACACATACCCACTCATGGATACACAGACACACAGACATACACACAGAGACATACACATACAATTAAAATAATTTTTAAAGAGAAATGAGAGTATTGGGTAAGTATAGGGCAAGCGGTGTCACCCCCAGAATTGGGCTTGCAGAGTAGCATGTAAGCTGATCTCCAAAGACAAGGAATCAGTAGCCAGGCAAAGGGAATACCAAAGCAGAAGGTGAAGGTGTCGGAAATACTTGTGGCATGGAGACAGAATCACAGATAGGGTGGGGCGAGGGGGGAAGCACTTGTGGCTACACCACCATTTCAGCCTGTGGGTTCTTCTGACATCTAGATATGATTCATTTGGAAAGCATTTTACATAGCTCCTGGCACGTCAGTGCATTCATCACAGCTAGTGTTCCTGAATGGCTTTCAGGAAGGTTACAGCAGTAATGGAAGAAGCTAATGATTCCACTGCTGGCTACCAGGCCCTGTGCTAAGCCCTTGCAGATATTATTTCATTTAATCTTCATAACATCCCTGAGAGGCAGACACTATTATTATCCTTATTTTCAAGGGAGGAAAACAGACAGAGGAAGTTTCTTTGTCCAAGACCATGCTGCCAGAGTTAGCTCTGCACCTCAGCCTGTCTCTCTTGCTTCATTGCACTAATAGACCACTCAATTAATGGGGGAGGAATGTATCAAATGACACCCAACTGTCACCCAGAGGCCACAGCTCAGGACCTCGGCAAACCAAGCCTAAGGATGTGTGCATCTCTTTGCTCTAGTACCTAGCAGGTCTTCATAGTGAGTCACAGACTTACATGTTACACCCACCTCTTCATGGACCATAACACAAGTTCAAAGTTTATATGTTCTCTCACAATGGCAAGCCTGGCACAGAGGGCACATGACACATGGCAGAGGATTGCCCACTTGGATGTTTCCAGGGCTTCTGCTTGAGGAACAAACAGACTCACAAGTATTTCATCAGAACCTGTGGACTGTCAGTGGGAGATGATGCTACTTTAATGAGCCGAGAGAGAGAGGGCTTGAAGAGGACCTGACCTTGTTTCTTGTCTGATGTGCAGAACAGATGAGCCTCAAACCCAACCATGCCATTGCTTATCTGATGAATGTCATGCACCTAAGCTGAGTTCATCCTACCCCTTCTCAGAGGCATCAGGACAGCACAAGCCCAGCCTCTCCCTGGTTCTCACCTCATGCCTGAATGATGTCTCACCCATAGTTCACTGCCTTGGTGTCCCTGGATTCTCCTCTCCAGTCTCTCATTCTAAAAGGGCGGGTTTGTGTTGACAGAAGGGAAACCCAGCTAAACTAGCTCAAGGTGACATGGGGGAAGACACTGTGAACTCTCTATGAACATGGAAACTGGCCATGTGTGTATGATCTGGGAAGCCATGGAAGCCCAAACAGGGACAGGTGCATCTTTTTCTTGTGATTCAAAGCCCTGTGCTTTGTCTCTCACTCTGGTCACAATTGACTTCCTCAGTTGACACATAACCAGCAGATCCTCCTAAAACAGACAGCCTCACTTACCTGTAATTCTAGTGGCCACCACCCACTGACCACATCTCAGTGAAATCTGGGCTCATTTAGATCCAGGATGGTCAAATTCCAGAAAGATATATAGAGAGAATGATTCATTTGCAATAGACCTGTGGGTTGGTATCTAGTGGTCTACCCTGTTGTGGCTGGTGAGAAGGCCTTGTGGCATGCAGGCTATCCTTTCCAAGGACTCAAAGTGGGCACAGACCATGAAAGACAATGAATATGGACTCTCTTACACAGATATATCCTGCTGATTCATAAGACTGAACTTACACACTTATGAGATTAAAAGATTTTTATCTCTTCTGCTTCCACCAAACCCCTCTCTCTTATTCCCCTACCAAGCTTTCCACTCTGGAGAGTCCTCAGCAGCAGGACCACCCGGGAGCTGACGAAGCCCCTGACGGATCTTCAGGAAGTGCAGAACACTGGGTCACAAAGGACCTCCCAGGATTAAAAACAAACAAACAATTTTGCTACCCACTTTCCCCAACTCAAGAGCAAAGGCTCTTTGGGGACTCTTGAAGGCCATTGCTCCATTCCTGGAGAAAGAGAACAATGGAGGTCCAAGTGTTTCTTGTTGTGCACTTCTTGTTTTTTTTTTTTCTTAGATGATCTTACTCTGTAGACTCAGCTTTCTGTCTAACAAGATGCCCTGATTTCCCATGCAGTGGCGACCAGCCCCAACCCAGACCTTAATACACAGGAGCATCTGGGGTACAGTTCTGTTTGGTGATCTGGGATTGATGAAGAAGCTGAATCTATCTGGGGGATACAGTCAGCTTTCCTAAATTAATAATTGTGTTTTCTCCCATCTTTCCCCTTGGGTGTGGCCACATTTCCTCTGATGTTCAGCTGCAGAATTCCCTGAAGACTGATTTGTGTCTTGATCAGGGGCCAGATACAGAGAATGTCCCCATCGTGTACATCTGCCATGGGATGACACCTCAGGTGAGTCTTTAGGAGACCCTTGTGCCAAAGGTGTGCATGTGAGTGTCTGGTGTGGGGAAGCACAGCTGGATTCGGCCATGGAGTCCCTAGTCCCAGAAGTCTCTGCTGCTCATCAGGAAGTATTCCCATTAGACCAAGAGCCATGTTGCACCTTCTCTCCCTCAATAGAAGCTGGGAAAGTGGTTGTTAGGGGCAAGGATCCTATGGAGTAGGGAAAGGGAGAAGACAATGCATTTTTACAGAGAAACTACTGCCTTCTTTTGGAAGCTGTCATAAGCTATAGCTCTGGTTCTGGCTGAAGAGCCCTTCCTTAGCGGGGCAGAGCTTCAGGATTCTGCCAAGCTTCCTAATGTGCCTGAGTTCCATAGACTGCCATGCCACAATCTATAGGTCAGGAGTTCCCTTTCTAAGATATGCTTCTGATGGGGAACAAAGGATAGCCACCAGGACATGGGCTGTCCTTTAAAATCCTCCATCCATAGTCTAGGCATCAGATATACCAAGGGTATGTTGAAATACAGGCAATGTATCTGGTTTATTCAATAAAATTATAGGCAGCCACTGACCAATTTTGTCATAGCATGTAGAGTGTCCATATGGACTGTGTTGCCAGAGTTTAACTCCAGAAGAGAGCAATGACTAAAAAGGATGCTTTCTTACCAGCTTTGGTAACTGTGCTTCTGTGTTTAAGTTGCTACCTGCCTAAACACATGACTTAAGGCTGTCACATTGTCCTATGTGCAAACGATGGGAATTTATAGTGATTGTTCACTGCAGTCCTAACACCTTATCTTTTTGGTGGGCCATGGTGTTGTGACATCACTAGCTGCTTAGTCTCAGTCTCTGGGTAGCAGATCATACATACCCCCACATCACTTAGCATAGCAACTCATCCCTTATTATAGAACAATGTGACATTTTTGATATGTTACTGTCTCAGACACTTTACATATTGCTGTGACAACATACCAGAACAAAGCAACTTAAGGGAGAAAGAGCTATTTCCATTTATAGTTTCAAAAGAATATGGTCCATTGTGGTAGGAAAGGCATGGTGGCAGGAGCAGGAGGCTGATAGGTCACATTGCATCAGGAAGCAGAAGGAAGAGGAAGTGGGGTCAGGCTATAAAACTTCCAGGCCCTCCCCCAATGACCTACTACCTCCAGTATATCTCCACCTCCTAATGTTTCCACAACCTTCCCAAACAGCACTATCAGCAGGGACCAAGGGTTCAAACACCTAAGCCTCTGGGGGACATTTCATATTCAAACCACAGTACTGTCTTTATGCTAACAAATGTCCTATCAAGGCATCACAGATACATAGAAGATAATGAGTTATAAGTGTGCAGATTAATAAATGCCTGTGAAATGAACATGATCTTATTAGCCAGCACCCCAAAAAGCCTCCATATCTGTGAGCTATACTCATGTATCTTGTAAGTTGCTCATTTGTTTTACTGTAAAATATTCTGTGTTATGAATATGCTATGAAGTACTGAGATGGATTTAATAAGAATGGCCCGCATAAGCTCTATATTTGAATGCTTAAGTTACTAGTCACTTAGGTACTATTTGAAAGGATTAGAAGGGTTAGGAGGTGTGGCCTTGTTGGAGGAACTCTCTCTCTCTCTCTCTCTCTCTCTCTCTCTCTCTCTCCCTCTCTGTAACAAGATGTAGTTCTACATGCTGCCATACTTCCGTCTATGGTGATAATGGACTAACCCTCTGAAACTGTAAGCAAGCCCCAAATTAAATGCTTTCTCTTGAAACAGTTGCCTCAGTCATGGCACCTCTTCTCAGCAATAGAACAGTGACTAAGACAAGTACCATGAATCCTGCTGAGGTGATCATCTTTTCATGTCTTTCTGACTATTTCCATACTCATTTCTTTTGGATTTACACTAAGGAATAGAATTGTTGAACCATAGGGTTGGTGTGCATTCCCTTTAATGAACATTACCTGTAATAATCTGCTCAGACGACACAAACAGAATGCCACTGCTTAAGCAACAGAAATGCATTTCTCAAAGTTCTGGAGACCAGGAAGTTCCAGATCTAGATGCTGGCAAAATTGGCATCTGGCAATGGCTTGCTTCGTAGCTACCAGGTGGCCTCCTCCTTTCTGCACTCAAAGGTATGGAGAGAAGGGCCCCACAGGAATGAGGTGCTGGTGTCTGGCCTCACAAGAACACTAATACACAATAGGGTTCCAACCTATGACCTCACTCAATGTAAAGATTCAGAGAAGTCTAAGGCTCTCCTTAGAAGATACCTTGTGAAAGAAATGCTAGGACTCGGCTCATGATAAAGAGGCTGAGGCCAGGGGTATGATTAATGGATTTTGTCATCTCAGCAGAAGCCAAAGATAGAGATGGATAAAACTGGGAGAGACACAGAGAAGTAGGAGAGAAGGAAGAGTGGCTGTCAGACCCTTGCACTATGAAGTATAAAGCTTTGTCTATGAGCTTTGATGTTCTTCAAGGAAACGGGAGGATGATGACAGATGCTGGAGGGCACATTAAGATCATCAAGGGTATCACTGCCACCACAGGCCCAGGGAGCAATGCAGATATCCTTCCCAGCCAAAGACTACTAGTGCAATCCCTGGAGCATCTGTAAGTTGCTATGGCAGCAAAAATACAGGTGAAGGGCATCAGGAGCCCTGGGTCCTAGAATGTCTGTAGTGTCACTTTAATGTTTTCTGGCCCCTTAGTTTGTTAGATTACATTGTGGGGGTATAACTTCATGCTAAAATAGATGAAATATAATCAGAAAGTTGGGTGAATTCTTATCTTTGTGGGTAATGCAGTCACCATCCTAGTGAAGCCTGTCATCCCTGAGGGCTTCCCATTTGCCCCTTCAGTCAGCATGGCTACTCATGAGTAGTGACAGTTCTGATTTCCTCCCAGTTGACTAGCCACCTCTGGACCTGTCTGTCCATCTGTAAATAATAAAGCTGGACTGGCCATCTCTAGACCCAGCTCTGCTAGCTATGACAACCTGCTCATCTCTTGTTCTTTTGTTGTGAAAGGCACTTGGCAGGAAGCTGTGAGTCTGTGCTGTGCTTGCCAGGGATGCTGGGATCTGCCTTCATAAATCAGCTTCTTCATGTGCTCATGTCCCTGAGCTCTGCAGGAAGCATCAGGCCTGATGCTCTCTCCTTCCAGGTTCATGCTTTCAGGGTCCAGGAGGCTTAGAACCAGGCTCAGATCCAGGTTACCAAAGAATGAAACTATGTGGACTCTTGTGGCAGGAATTGGTTGAAGGAGCTGAAAGAGCCAGAGAAGCCTGCAAGTGGGCTGTGTGTCCCTGCCCTAAGTTTCTGTATCCACCCAGTATGGACACAGGGACATGAAGTGAGTGATTAGTGAGGTGTCAAGAATTTTGGATTCCAAGGATTCCCAAAAGCATCCTCCAGCCATCAAAAGTACCATGGAGAGGCTTAAGAAAGAAAGGGATCAGGGTACTTTCTAGCAGACTGGATAGATACAGGCCCCATGTGCCCGCTGAACCCTGCAGACTTTGACACATGTGAAACATGCATTTTTGATGAGATTTTTCCCTCCTCCTGGCAGTTCTCAGCAAGACCTTTCATAGAGCAGGGAGAACCCAGGGATAGTCACACATGTACAGATGGGATGCCACATGTCTCCATGTGAGCTACTCCTATACTTCCCCAGAGGAGAGCAATGACCTCCACATTGCCATCTAAGGTGTATAGATAAATCTGAGATGACAGCCTTTCTGACCTCTGCTGTGAAACCTCACAGGTCCTTTCCCAAGAACCACAGCCAATAGGCAGCCTGCAAATGCTGAAGGGAAACATACAGTAATAACTAGAGGTTAAGAACCAGGCCAGGGAGATGGTTCAACAGGCAAAGGCACTTAGCACCAATCCAGAAAACCTAAGTTCAATCCCTGAGAAATAGAAAATTCATTCTGGCAAGTTGTCTTCTGATCTTCACTTATATACTAAGACACATAAGCACACTCAAGTGCATGCATGCATGTGCACACTCACATACACACATGAATAAATGTAATAAAATGTTTTTAAAAGCATATGAGAGCTATTGAGGTGACTTAGCCCTTAACTGCTCTTACAGAAGACCCAAGTTCAGTTCTTAGCACCCATGTCAGGTGATCTATAACTCCAGCTCCAGGGGATCTCATGCCCTTCTGGCCTCCACAGGCAACTGTACCCTTGTGCACATACCCCACAAAACATATAATTATAAAATAAAAATAAGTCTTTGGGGGATAAGAGAGATGGCTCAGTGGTTAACAGTACTTGCACTGCCAGAGGACCTGGGCTGCTCCCCAGAACCTAGTTTGAGTAAGCTCACAACTGCCTATAAGTTTCAGGAGGTCCAGTTCTCTCTTCAAGCCCTCACAGGTACCCACATGCACATACACATAAGATAGAAAAAAAGTCCTTTTAAAAGTTATTGATAGATTGAAGCTGTACCACTCACTAGCCAAGTACCTTGAGTAGATGTTGTGCCTTGATTTTTATTACCCATAAAATGGAGATTATAGCATTACCCTCATTACCTATCTTGTAGGGTTGCTACAAAGCTTACATAATGGGTGCACATGAAGCCTTTATACAGTGCAAGCTGGCCGATGCTGGTTGCCTTTTCTGTACAAGCAGTTATTACTACAAGGCTTGTGGAGAGACTCAAGTCTATCCTTGGGCTAAAAACTACTAATAATTAGCCTGGAAAGAATAGCCTTAAGAGAGAGTTGAAACTTACTTCCAAAATAAAAGGACACACATGTTTGTCTGAGAACAAGGGGACCCTTCTGGCCACTGACTCAGGTGACAATGGCATCCCCATCATCTCTGCCCAAGCCATGTTGATAGGCTTCAGGAGAATGATACCTAAACTAAGAAATCCATGATTATTCCTGCTCTGTGACTCTATGGCTTCTTTATACTTCAAGACAGAGTCTTATTATGTAACCGAGGCTGGCCTCAAACTCAAGCTCCTCTTT